CTTTTGAAGCGATATACCGAGTTTATACGAAAGACCAATACCAATCAAGAAAACTAAGTATGACCACCTGATAAGCCTAAAGGCTACTCTACTTAAGGATTACCAAGCCTTTTATAACCAATTACTGCACCATTAATATCAACAGTTTTTTAGTTTTCCCACATGTGCAAAAATGTAATAAAACTATATTTAAATATTTCGTATTTTTTCATTTTTTTTTATTATAGTTTTGACTACAATACCATGCTTTTTTAATTTGAGAAAATCCATTTTTATCATTTTTTGTGGGTGCATTTCCCTTTTTGGCCATTATATTCCCAAATTTAGTTTTCAACATTGATTCATTATCATTAAAGTAAATATAATACTGTTTTTATTGCCTACTGCAAAGTTCTGCTATTTGGACTTATGTGATTTACTAATTAAGGTGACGATATGCATAACATCGGCCTGGCAGAAGAGACCTTGTGCCGATTCTGTTAGAAAGAGGAGGAAATTGAAGTACATGTATTGGGTTACTACAAAGGTCTATCAACACTTGGAGAAGAAAAATAAAGGGGAATGAGTTACGTCCTAGTTTATCGAGTCTAGACAAAGTACTGTAACCAATGATCAACGGATGTCTACAATAGATCTGAATAGGTCGATGTAGGGAGGCTACACTGCCCACAGTCCTAACCAAATCTAATCAAATCCAAAATATCCTTTTCATTTGAAGAACGCGTACGCCTTTGTCGCAGGAAATTTGCAAAAACATCAGTTTCTTGTGTGAACTTCCAATGTGTTTACTTTTGCAATAGAGATTTTCAAATCTAAAAACAATAGAATAAGTGCGTAATATCTTTAGCATTTTTACAAAACGATATGAAGAAAAATAATATTAAATAGGTTTACTTAATAAATATTTCGCATAAACTGCATTGTCGAATGGCATAATCGATGAAATATTAAAAAAAGTTTTGTAAATAACAGCGGCGGCCATTATTGTTTATTTTATTAAATAAAAATACTCTCTGAGGACATTTCAATAATAATTCTGATCATAGCATTTTTAAATTGAAAAATCTTAAAAGGTTCCTTAACATCTAGTCACTTAGCTATACAGGGTGTTCCTAAATGTCATATCATATCGATATGACTAAAATTTCTTATAAACCTGAATTCTAAAGAAGCTTTTTTTAAAATCACAGGATGTTATTTTTTTAAAGGTTTCTCTCCGGAGTGTTAGAGTAATTTATCCTCTTAGAACAAGTTTAAAGAAATAAAAAAAGGACATATTTAAATGACATTTTAGTAATAAAATTGCCCAAGGTAAAATACATTTAGATTAGGGAGTGTGTAACGCAAAAATACTCACAATTTCATAAAAACAAAATTTACTGCATATTTAAAATCCAATCAAATATGTACATTTTGTAAATGTTGTCCCTTTACCTTATTTCACGGAATATCTGTCTGTTCAGGAGAATTTTTGGATTAATAATTCCCTTTTTAGCGTATTTTTTTGCGTAATTTTTATCTAGGGGTGGGGAGGGAATGGCTGCCTAAGCCCCCTGTTTAATGTATCATGGTCTATATTTCCGACCTATTTTAACTGTACCATTACAGATTTATACTGGGTTTTCGATATTATATACTGGGTTCTCTTTGAAAATTGACATTTTTTTAAAAACTTTGCATACATACTGGTTTATAACACATGTAAGTTGACTTATTTCTCCCAATTTTTATTGGTCAGATCTTTGTATAGTTACGTTACTTTTCTTTTGAACCTTAGCAAGTTTCGTAAAATTTTATTATAATTAATAAAACCATTAAAAAAAGAAATTTTAAATACTCAGTCAAGTATGTGCGGTTTTATAGAAAACAAAAGATTCGCGGTAAATACTCTCAATTGTTCACGGTTTAATACGTATGACATTGTTGTTTTTCCACTCAGTTTATTCCATAATTTTTCAATTTTTTATTTAATGGATTTATTATTGTTTATGGTTAACAAAAGAATAAATTCAGCAGAATTTTTATTTTACTATTAATATTATTCTATTTTCAAGGGTATTTTGAGGGTACACTAGATTGATTAGAAGTGAAAGTTACCTCGAAATTAATTTATAAAGGAAAATGAACATTAACTATTTTAAGAAAATTAACCTTTGTACAAATTCATGTCTCTATTTCAGATAAAACCACTATCTAAAAATCCAATTTAGATAGTTTGCAGCTATGTTATAATATAATAAGCAACCTGGTTTTCACTTTGGTTAAACTTTTCTTCAGCCATTCGGTATGCAGCAGTCGTGATTAATTATTGCATTACCTACATACTATTAATGTAAATTCATAGGCGCCCATAACGTAGCCGTGGCCCCTGGCTTTTGGAACACATAAAATTTTAGTCTTATATTATCCAATAAACAAATAATATGCTACAGTGAAACAAAAATTGTGTAAAAGAAACCACCTTAAAGCAAGAAAAAAAAAATACGAAACCAGTGTATGCAGTGTATGGAGGATGTGATCCACTAGACCACTCATTTGATATAATTCATGAAGAGGTTATTCTTTTGCCACCATTGGTTTAACACATTCTAGGGTTTGAGCTAATTACTGGAGAAATTTAAAACAAAACTAAAAACGCTCTACTTAGTTGAATTAACTAACTTAAAACAAATGCAGCATTCATGCTAAAATACTCGTATGCCTCTAGACTCTGGAAAGTTGCAGAAGTCATTATAATACCGAAACTAGGTAAATCACCACATGAAAAGTTTCCTCTTTCTGTTGCCCGCCATGTCAAAGTTATTTGTAAAAACTTCTACTCAAGAAATTAAAAACAATTATAAAAAAAATAAGATTCATTCCAAAACATCAGTTTTGGAATGAATTGAACATAATTTAAAAATTACTAAAAGAAAAAACATATACCATTTTCCTTGATGTAGCACAAATGTTTAATGAAGTCTGGTACCAGTGGCACCAAAGTTTCAACCACCAGGGGCTCGATTCTCGAGTTCATTGGAAAATTTTCCCATGGGAAAAGATTCCACTACTTATATTCCCATGGTAATAGGTTATGCAATTCTCGAACTTGTCGGAATAGACATTCCCATGGAAATAATAGTTTCACGTATGTCTGATATTAAGTTCACGAATATTTCGAAATAACCAATAACATTAAAGATATTTTAAAATTTACTGTTGGTATTATTTGTATTTGTTGTAGTTTTTGGGTAACCGATTACCTGCCGAGCCTCTGCGTTGGAGCAGATGCCGTGCCGAGCAGTCGCTAGCTTGACCGAGGACAAGTGAAAATATTCGATTATGTATAATTAAAACTTATATCGAGTTATTTTTAGTTTTTCTTTTCACATATTGAAAAAAGAAAAAGTAGCTTTTGTATAGAAGAGCAACGAAAGTTTCGAGAAACTATATATATAAGAAATTCTTTCGTTAACGGAAATAATAAAATTTTCGAAAAGGTCTTATTAAATTTACTACAAATTTCTCAATTTGTGTTACCTATTTGCCAGTCCCTTAGCAGCTCCCACAATTTCTAACTAATTTAAGAAAATCAGTTTCTTAGTGAAAGAGAGGTAAAAATAATATACCCACATAAATAAAATAATATCAATTTATAAATACACAAAAAAATGTTTTAACTACAATTTCACCAAAAATCCAAGATATCCAATAATCTTTGGTTATGTCTTAGTCTTTCGCGTGGTCTTTCGTCAAATTTTCGACTTTAATGCGCAAACTCTAGTACAATTCCCATTGGAAAACACAATTTCCAATGCTCGTAAGCAGGGGAATATTTTCCCATACTTCTCATTGGAAAATATTCCACCGCTTATGCCGAGAATACGAAAACTGAATTCCCATGGGAAAATTTTATTTTCCCATGGGAATAAAAGTCGAGAATCGACCCCCTGATGAAGGTTTCCATCCCCAGTCAATATTCAGATATCATTGATTCATATATTTAAAATAGATACTTTAATAACAAACAAGAAGAATCTTACTATGATCTGAAAATTAACCTTTTTTTAGTATTAGTTCGGTATGTAGGTACTGTTTTTTGAGTTATTTTCAATTGTTATATAAATGGTAGAGTTATCTATTTGAGTAAATTAACAACAAGGTATATAACAAATATTTTTCAAGACCTATAAATTACCCAACCATGCGCTCATCAGAGTCTTAAAAAGGATTAAAATAATTGTAGCCCATTGTTATGTTCCACAAACCAGGCGGCACAGGTAAAATTCTTAAAATCAAAACATAATTGCCGGCTGTTTAAAATCACAGATTTTATTTGGGCCGCCTGTGCTGTGTCACACCCATAAAATTTTGATTTATTACTCCGTGTTGATTGCGATTCTATTACAATAGAGATTTTTTTAATATGATTATTTCATAGGTATTTGAAAATTTTATTTTATTTTACTATAAATTGCCAGAATTCAGTGAAAACTTTCATTTAGAAAAAAATTTAAATACGAGTACCTATGTACCTACTGAGATTTCTTATTAAAAAACCTATTTATTTAAGAAATGGCTACTATGAAACGGACAGTGGTTTAAATAATTTACATTTACATAGGTACCTGCTCAAATCCTTTTTATATTATAATTATGATATTATTGCCTACTTAATTGGGCAAAAAAGGTGGATATTAAGATTAGTATGTATTAATTAGGTAATAACAAAATAATCTCGATTAATTTGTGACATAAGGCTTCCAGATTTTATTGTTATTCTTTAATTATATGTTTTTGTACTTTCGTAATATAATTTGAAATATTTTTTCTTCGTCCCTCCTGAAATTTGACATATGAGCGCCAGTGAATGGAATCCACGCGAGTTAGGCCGCGGACAAAAAGCTAGTTAATAAATAAAAGTAAAGGATAGTTTTACTCCCTTACATTTCAAAGAGTAAAACAGGCAATTACATACATGGAGCTCGGGCGGATATAAATTTTAATCGATTATTTCTTACCTTACTGACCAAAAAATAATATGGTTCCAAGTGTTCGTTTTAAGCAGCACATATGACCGCGAATAAAGTAGAACAACAAAAAGTATCACATCAACAGGTCAGTATTACTATAAATCCACCAGTCCTCTGACCAAATGTCACTCATTGGTTAAAGTTTAATAAAAAGAATCACGCAAAAAAAAACTATCAAATCGGTATTAGTACTAGTATTGTTGTTGTTGTTGTTATTAAAGCTTTAATGGTACTTTTCAACGGTATTTCTTCGTCGGTATTGTCGACGTCGGAAGGCTTTACCGGTGCGAGACAAACTGACGGATATTCAGAGATAGAAGGTACTTCGGTTGTAAATTTCTTGTTTCTTCTTTATGTCTAGCAGTCAGTGGAAGAGGTTGTTGTAGCCATGTAGCCAATACTTTTCCCCGTTCTCTGCGTCGTTCGTGATAGTTGATAATTGTAGCCTACATTTGGGGACACAGTCGGAAGTTTCGGTTTAACATGAGATTTGTGTAAAGCTGGCCATGAACTTCAAAAATATTAAATAGCAGCTTCCAAACACAAACGGTGAAATTCACAGACTACGGGCCAATTTCATTTACTTCAAGTTTAGTTTTTTGTCTGAAATTTAGTAAACATATCTGGCAAATTTTTTCTGAAGGTACAGCTGACTAAACCAAAACATAAACCAAAATATGAACGCCAAAATTTAATTGTGTGAATTAGACTTTGCATCGGTTCGTCGGTTTCAAATTTGACAGTTCTTAAAAATTATTGTCAAATACATTTTCAAAAATGCCGCAACATTTAACTGAGGCTCAAAAAGAGATGGCCATAGCAAAATTTGAAGAAAATTGGTATTTAAGTGAAGTGACTACTGAATTAAATGTCAGTAAAAGTTGCATATTTTACGTTAAGAAACGCTGGCAAGAAATAAGCGTAGAATTTTCCAATTTGCAAATTAATTTTAAATTCACGAAGAATAATTTACAAGTTTATCGTCCTAGACACTCTAGATTCAAAGAGACTTATACGTTAGTTATATCTTTGGGTGTGGGTCAGCATTAAAGGTCCTGGAATGTACTGGCAAATTGATGGGCGATTAGCAGCCGAACATTACATAGGGTAGAATGGAGGAATACCGACTGTTGGAGTAATCCCGGCCGTGAAATTACTCTCACCTTATTAAGAATTTTAAGGCGGTTTACGTTCACGGATCAAGCATGTGAACAAACCTAACTTCATTATCGTTTAGATAGTGTAAGAGTAAGCTGTTTGATTTTTCTCGATAATTATACATAAAATCACGTGCAACTATAAGAAAGGCGTGTGTTTAAGGCTTTATATTTCAGAAAGTTGTAAAAAAAGTGTATTCAAATAAACCAAATACTGTGGTTATTGATTCACTTAACTTGAAAATCACATTTGTTTTCACATTATTAATTATTATTTAGATAATTGTTTTGCAGATAATTGCGGTCCTCATCTTGTGGGTGAACACCCTAATAGACAAATATATCTTTTTTTGAGCAAGAATTTGTAACGCTAATGAAACTATAATTACAACAGCCCAAGCAAAATCTACTTGAAAAGGCCAAAAACAAGTTGTGAGAAGAGGAAATTACTGTTATGTGTTAATTTAGCGCAGCCATGTCAAACATGCGGCCCGCGGGCATCATTCGGTCCACTAAGCATTTTCCTGCTGCCCGAACCTCTTCTTCTTTAAGATTAGGTTTTGTGGGCCACCTAGTCTACGGTCTTCATGCTTTTAGCTCACTAGTGACTTTGAGTTTAAAATGGCTCATTTAGCGTAAATGGAATCTTTGTTTATTTATGTCAGAAAAAGAATGGCTAATCACTTGAAGAATTGTTATTCCTCCTGGTGCTATTTATCCCTACTCAAATAACAAATTAATGACCGGTAAATGGTTAAAGCACTTTGAGAAGTGTATTAAAACTTCGAAAAAAGATTCAGTTCTGTTTTTAATAGATAATCACTCTGGTCATTGCTAATTAAATGCCTACAACTACTGCAAGTGGAGTTAATATGTTGATAATTCCTTCACATACATCTCGCCGTGTTCGACCACTTGACGTTACGTTACATGGTCTTTAAAGGCAGCATATAATTCAGAATTTGACAAATTTATGAGAAACCACCCCCAGAGAAAAAAATTAAACCTATATCGTTGCGAATTTTTTTCAACAAATCCTTTGGAAGAACTACCGACAAAGCTACTAAAGGTTTTAAGTTAACGGATATATTACCCGTCAACCAGGATGGTTTAACTGCAGAATATTTTGCTCCCGCTAAAAACTTAAAGCCTACAAACTTAAACAGGCCTAGAAATTAACAAATAGAACAGAGGAAAATACAGAAGATATAGGAGAACAAAACATCGATGCAGATACAAACGATAATGAAACAAGGCAGAAATAATACCAATTCCTCGATGTTCTGAAACTACTAATAAAAAAAAAGGGGGAAAAGGTGGAAAAGTGGGAAAAAGGTGGAATAAGGGGGCAAATGGTGGAAAAATGTGGAAAAACAAAAGAATTAAATATTAAATATTTACTCCTAGGAAAGAAAAACAATCCAAACCAAAAAATCGTGGTCTAGAAAATCCAAAATGTAAACGAGTAAAAACACCAACATAACCATAAAACCAAAACCAGAGTTCAGAAACGAACCCAAGGTATGCGAGGAGGAGGAAGAATAAAAAGAACATTCAGTTGCTAAAATTCGTATTATTTGTGAGGAGTTTGGGAAGAATCGGGAACTCTGGCTAAGATGTGTGAACTGTTCTGGATGGGCTTACATGAATATTGTACAAAAAACGTATGTATGCAATTTTAGCCAATGACCCATATATTAAGTGTAATTGCGGTTCCCAGCTGCTATTGCCCCCAAACTGCTGGGTAATGCCGGCCACTCATGTATTTTTTAAATTCTATAGTTTGGTAAAACGTGTTTGTATTTTCCAACTAATATGTATTTTGTTCTTAAACGCCTTATCTTTCATTTACACCTCCCGGTTCCCTTTTGAATCATAAAATCTCCGAGATATTCGAGACTTTTCTTAGAGGGCTGGTTTTCCCCCACTCTACTACTCTTAGACAACGTGATGTTACCATCAATAAGAGAAAGTTTGTCCTAACAATTTTATCTTTCAACATGTTAAAAGTCAGTTTGGTATACTCGTTAATATTTATAATAATTTATTTTTATTACAGGATAATTATTATCCAGTTCATACGGCTCAAATAGTAAGAGAGTGGGTCATGAATAACAACATACATGTTTTGCCATGGCCAGAAAAAAGTCTTAACTTGAATTCTTTCTTGAATCCCATTGAAAATGTATGGGACTTCATAATCAAAAAGATATATCAAAGATATTTTAGGCCAGAAAACCACGATTTTTTTACTAGCTTATCCATTACTCTGCTAAGATAAGACGTCGCTTACACTATATCTGGTCTACTAGTAATAACTAGACACATTAATTTACCGACTACTTCTCTATATGGAACATCCTCACATATTTTTTGCTAAAACCAACTGTCATTAGTTTTAGAGCTGGCTTGCTTTCCAACATCTCAAATTTTTCTACAATTTTGTAGATAAAGTCAGTTAGTTAGCTTATGCTCTAGCACATTCACCTATCCATACCATTTGCAGCAGTTTTAATAGATATGCAGCTGAATTAAATTTGGCATAAACTTTGATTATTTTAAAAGAATTAAACGTAAAATTAATGAGTACTTACTCAGACAATATTAATAAATAGGTATAGGTTCATTCTTTCGTTAGATTTTATAGTGAATATGGTGACATCTTCCGGAATTTTCTAAAATGTCTTTTAAACTACAATTTTCAGCTATGTAAATGGTAAAGTTTAACGTTAGATCTTGTGTGATATTTCAATATTTTCGAACAACAAGAACAAAGCACTTTAAGAAATGTTGACAGGAGCTTTTTGTCTTAAAATAGACTTAGAATTTTATATTATGCGAAATTTGTTGGTATTATTCCGAATTACCATAAAGATAATCAAAAAGAAAGTGCATGGCCGCCTTTAGTTGAAAATATATTTCCATGTATTGGGAAACTATTTTAGTCAATTACCTGTTTATAATTAATGAGTAATCTACTATTTTCATTAAAACAACTCACCCGTATAGACAGTTTAATGAGGTGGTTGTCCTTATATAAGTTACTTTTAAAAAGAACAGCAAATTATGATTAGGTACATTCTTAAAATGAATCTATAAAGCATTTTTTTTAATAATCTATAGTAGTTTAGTGAATTGTCGTTCAAAAATAGCCTGATACTTCGGTTTTTGAGTAAAAGCAAATCCGCTCTAGAGTGGATAGAGAATGTCAACCGTTGAGAATTTACCCCGAACAATGAATGCTTTTGGCAATAGTCGGCAATCGCTCGGACTGACACCGGCATGTACGGGAAGCATATTTCCATTCCCTATTCGCGATTAAAGCTAAGCGATACGCCCTCTGGAGGAAATTTGTCCGTATAAGTAGGATATCGTTCAGTGTTGCCAGAAGTAGCAAAACTTCGCTACGTCGTCGGATTTTAGCTCTTGAAGAAGTGGATAAGACCTTTTATTTAAGAATCAAAATTTGTGTATGGTAATATGTTATCATACTCTATATCAACGCATGATTTTCTCGTAAAAAATAATTCTCTCGACTAAAATATTACCTATAGTCCTCATAGGTCTTAAAAATCCTCACAGCCAGAATATTTGTGATACAAAACGCTGTAGTTACGTAAAATTATATAGAATTACCTATATAGATATATTTTTATGTTCAACCCAGACAACACACCAAATCCCAGAGATATCTACAGAATATCTTTTGTGGATATCCAATATATCCACAGGATATCAGAAATATTCCGTGGATCTAATACGGATATCCAAATGTCCGTCTGTATCCAGAATATAGAAGATATCCTAATGGATATCCAGCAAAATATCTAATGGGTACCTTCCAATACAAGAAATCCCAGAGATATCCACAGAATATATTTTGTGGATATTCAATATATCCAATATGGATATCCAACCAAATGTCCATCTATATCCCAGGATGTAGAAGATATTCGGATATTCAGCAAAATATTTTATGGGTATCTTTAGTAGAGGTTCATAAGTAACCAATGATTATTAAATAACGTCGAAAGAAAATAGCAGAGATAAAAAATATTTTCAACAATCAAAATATTTTCAACACTCTGCCTTTGATTTTGCCCACTAAGGAGAAAGTCATCCTTATTAGAACTCTTCAGCAATAAATGGAAATTCTCGACTCCAGTCTCTAATGGAGTCTGATTAGGACACACATTTCGATCGAACTCAATTACGGCGGGTCGAGCATGAGTAGATGCGAAAGTGGTATCGCCATCTATACTTAGTAAGCAAAATCAAATAACATCTAGTGGATATCCACGATGGTTTGCGTTCGCGGATATATTTTGTGGATGTCCATGGGATATTGAATACACCTTAAAAAATTAATTTTAAATATCTGAATGGGGGATGGGTTGGCTCAGTGGTTAGAGTCATGACTTTGAGATCGGAAGGTCTCAGGATCGAATCCCACCGTTGGACGGGATTTTTTCATTTAATTTAATTATTTAAAATTAATTCTGATGCCTAGGTAGGATTCCGCACTCGACCATTCACTGTTGGGTTCTTAACAGTGCTGTTCCTAAAGTGGCGCTGGGAATTTTTTTATTAATTTGCTATATAAATACTATTATTTATGCTGTTATGGACATTTGCATGTCTATAAATTACATCTCATGGATATAAAATAAATATCCACCATGGACTGGACATTCACTGGATATTGGGATGTTCAGTAGATAGGTATCCAAAGGATTTGGTGTGCTGTCTGGGAACTTATTTAATCTCATTGCATATTATTATAAATTTTTCTCGTTGCATGTCTCCCTTATTAACGAGAAAAAGAAAAAAAAGTATCAAAATGAAAAATTGCAACTACTCAAAGTATTGATGAATTTAAGCAGTGTGAACTTGTTTTTGTGGAGGGGGTAAGCGCTGATATTGGGTGCCAGCGCCGGGCGCTAAGTTCACACAAGTTTATTAGAGTCAAATAAAACGTATTAAAAAATATCTTTTTGTATTTTTCCCTTGGCTGTGATTGAAGATTGATTTAAAATATATCACGAAACACCCTGGTAACTCTATAGTTTATTTAGTAATAATATTATAAAATATATACCTAACAATAAAGGGACTCAAAATTGTCTGGCGCCTAGGGCCTCATGTTAGGTAAAACCGGCCCTGACTACCAGTTACGTAAGTAGCAAGACTAGCAAGCGATCATCTAGGACTCGTGACTAGGATCTATGCTAAAAACCCCCTCGAGTCCGTTCTGTTATTTCATGATTTTATATAGGTATACCCATAGAAAAATAAAAAGGGTATACCTATATATATCTTTATAGTTCTTATATCACTTTAAGGTATAATTTAATATGTGCCGAAATAGCTCAGTTGGGAGAGCGTTAGACTGAAGATCTAAAGGTCCCTGGTTCGATCCCTGGTTTCGGCAATCTTTTTTTATTTTTATTTCATTTATATCAACAATTCAACAATAAATTAAAAAGTTCAATGTTTTGATATAGAAGTAATAGGTATTCTTTTATTTAAATTTTTAATCCATACTAATATTCTATATTATTATATTGTGGACGATAATAATAGCAATTTTTATAGGCAACACAATATACATCCAGTTTTCTTTGGGATTCAGAGTATCTAATGCTGATGATATTATTTGACACAAAAAATACACGTGGTGGATATATGAAAATTTACTTTCTGGGGATGGCAGTATATAACGCAGTACTAAAAAAGGAAACGATATATTCTAGAAAAATTATAAAATCTACTTTATAACTAAGTATTTTATTTTTAATAAAACTATAATGTACCCAGTTAAAAAAAATTGTAGGTGATTTGTGATATCTACATCAAATTATGACAATTTTAAAATTTAAAAATACAGATTACTAGGCAGAACTTGGTGAGACGTAAAATGAAGACAATATCACCGAGTTTCCATGGAAACAAAATGTCAAAAAGCTAAAATTTATTTGACAACACATAAAAACATTATTGACAATAATTACTAATAGTGTTCAATTTATTATTTCGAATTTAGCTCTGATTGTAATGCATTTAAAAGAAATCGTAGTACTTAATATAAGGGCACGCAAATAAGTTCCTAAGACATTTTACAATAATTTGGTGTCAACATCATGAAAGACGAAATGACTAAAGAGTTTTCTTTAAAAGATGTAAAAACCGAAATAGAAATTGAAATAGAAGAAAATGACTTGTCTACCGAAAATGTTAAAACAGAAAAGCATTACGATTTTTACGGCTTCAATACTGAAGAAGTTTTTGACAGCGTCCAAGCTAATTTTAATTTTAAATGTAAATTTGAATGCACGTTTCGAATTTTGAGAGAGAGTATGGAAATGGGGAAGAACACATTTAAGAAAAAAGCAAAATTAACATTAAAAAAGAAAAGGAAAGTATTAAAAACATTTTGCGACAAGGTTTTTAACAAAGGTTTGTTAACATTAATTTTAATAAAGTTTTTCAGTGTTCATTTATAATGGGTATGGTTATCCAAATTTGATCTCCCCAATACAGGACACTTTAAATGTTATGATTTTATTATTTTATTTTAAAATACATATATTGTGGTTAATATTGAAAAATATAAAACAAGTGATAATCTTCTGCTTCTTTGGCATGATAATTTTCTTATTCCGACATTTTAGTTGTTTGAGGATTGTTAGCGTAAACTCTTTTCTTCAAAAAGCCCCACAGAAAATGATCCAATGGTGTGAGATCGTACGACCTATACAGTCGATTAACGTCAGCTCGTCTAGAAATTATTTAATTACCAAATCTCTCCTTTAAAAGATTCGGTGTCTAAGGCAAAAATCATACCACATAATCACTATTTATAGATAGTCATTTCTCCAGTATTTCTCTTCCTAACCCCATATATTCTGCAATTCTTTTTATTTATTTACGGATCCATCAATTTCAAAATGAGCTTCTTCGCTAATGATTATTTTTTGAAAAAAAAAATTGCAATAATTGTAATATTTTTTTTTAATACTTGAATCAAATGTATTTTACTATTTTTATTTAATGTTATGTAGACTCGAATTCTTAAAGTTGACGTGCTCTGATGCTCTGAACGCTTACGTTTTCTGGGTTTCTTCAAAACTAGCCCTACCGCAGCAATATTTTTTCTGATCGGGCAACACGATATTAAATAGGTCAGCTTCTACTGACCCAGTCTACTTAAATATCTTCATAAAAATTTCAGTAACTCTAAAAGATGGTGCAATTTCAAAGTTTTCACTTGATAACTGATACTAGGAAAACTGTCAATCAAGATTTGTACAAATAACGGGAAATTTAAATCGGATGATCAAATTTGAACATCCTTTATTATAACGGGTGTCCCAGGAAAAAACAAGGAGAATTGTTAATATAAATTATAATAAGAAATAATGATGACACCCTAAGTACTTTTATTTAATTTCACTCATTGTAAATTTCTATATCGTGCTCTAGGTTAATATGTGTTTCTAACTGATCAACATTTATGATAGAAGCAATTTAATGGATTATGGCGTGTCTGTCATCACTAACATACGAAATAGTAAACATAAAACTTGTGTAATATAAAATCAAATTGTTGTGATCCATCCATGGACTCATTTTTCTTATTAGTGAACAAAATCATGAAGATCCGGCAAAATGTCACTGTGTCTATGTTTATAAATAAGTCTAGCTATTAAAAGATTTTCTTTAATTTCCAACATTTTAAAAAATGTAGATATCTTAACTGGCATTTCTGTGATTTCTGTTGACTGTTGAATTATATGTTCGCTAATCTCCAAATAGTATTTCTATTTATATGCATATCCCATTATTCGATTAAAAAAACCTAGACAGATATTGTATCCTAGAAGAGCTTTGCCCCGTCCACTCTTTGGCCCGCGCTACGCTACTGGATGCATAGTAATTACGCCTTAGTAAACTGGATATAGTAGAAAATAGTGAATGCAAATTCTGTGAGGAGGAGGAGGACTAAACCTCCATTCACATTCTGACTGAATGTGTAGCACTCCAAAATCCAAGGGCACTATCCTTAGGATCATACCAAATAGAAGATGGCGATCTACCCAATTTGGAGCCACTCCAAATCCTACATTCCCTTGGTAAGATAGGATTGGAAGGATCGTTATAGTCATCGAAACTATTCCATTGCTGCCTTAGCGACAGAAGGGACACAATAGATATTTTAGGTCGCAGATGGATCGCAGTTTATTAATACTCAATACATAACCTCTTCACTGAAACAGTCTTCATTGTCCGAATTAATTTCCAAATCAATGATAATCCTAGTTTCATATTCATCATAATATATTTTAAGTCTTGAATAATTAATTATTCTGCATACTTCACACAGTGAAGAGCATCGTTCCAAACTTTGTTATCTTCGTTGTTTCCCCATCCATTTAATCAAATGTTTCTGGACAAGTATTATAAATTAAAAATTTAAAAAAAAACCGTACCCTTGAGGTACCCCCTTACTAACAAAAAAGAATCATATAAATCGGACTAGGTGGTAAAGCATTATCGCTAAACATACATAAAAAATGAAGAGTTTGAGGATTTTCTCATGGACCCAATTATTAGATTTTGACCAAATTTATATGGGACCACCCCTGAAGTACCCCCTTTCTAGAATCATTAAAATCGGATACCGTGTTAAGGAATTATCGCTGAACATATATAAAAAAAAATTGCGACGAATTGAGAACCTGCGCCTTTTTTGAATTCGTTTAAAAATATCAATCACGCATCTTCAACAAACCCATCACTAGTTCCAGAACGCTAAAGTGTACACAAATCAAAAAATTATATACACGCGAAACGTCATATTGCTGTGGTGGGAGGTGTTGGTGTGAATGCGTCTTGTTTGTTTTCATTTACGCCGTGACTAGCACAATAGTATTTTATAAATCTTAGAAGCAAATTTCACGTACATGAACAAATAATAATAATAATAATGCCGTCACAACAAGAAAAATTTAAATCCATACCTAGCTACGACCGGCGTAAACACCAACGGCCTGCACACAGCTCACCTACTCTGTCAAGACGTTTCGCGTGTATATAAATTTTTAAATTGCGTACAAGGTAGCGTGTACCTAGACACTGTGGTTCCAGAATGTAAAACTATGCCGCGTTTCAGAATCCACATCGGATGCATCTGAGATGTAGTAAATATTTGATCACGTAATTCAGTATACTTAATGTAATGGGACATATGTGTCCGATGTGGATAAAAAAACGCTCGAGACGTAAAAAATGCATCCGATGTGGATTCTCAAACGCAGCATATGAAGCGTTTAGCCGTATTTTCGTGACTTTTTAAATCATTAAATTTTCTTCTTGCCATGTAGATTTATATAACCACGTTTCATCAATAAAACAAATTTAGGTAGGTTTGAATTTAAGAATGTTTTCATATACTCGTATTGCTTTAAAAAAATTATATTTAAAGATATTTGAGTTTTTCGCCAAGGAGTAGCATATTATTTACAGTTTTTTTTTTTGAAAATAAGATAAAATAAGATAAGATACGGTAAACTTATTGTATTAGAATCATTGTATATTATACATATTAAGTATGTTTCTTTTCAATTCTACATTTAGTATTTTGATTATAGTCTACCTTCCATCTGCATTCATATTTTAAAAACGTATTCTAATTGTTCCTTTTACAATATCACGTACATCATTAGTCTTTAACTGCGATAGAACATGCGATTGTTCTGGGGTTGTTTCCTCCTTGTTTCCCTTTTTTATATGTTTAACACTGCTAATATTGATTTATAAAGCATCTGCAACTCGTTCATGAACAGATAAAAATGGTATCAAAGGTTCATTGTTTTCTTATACCTTGGTAAAGTATCGTGCTTCCAGGCATACTTTATTAGTATTGAAACCTAATAACCATGAATATTATCTCTTTTTTAACCTAAAATGCGACCATGATGGGAGCAAAAAATAAACACATACGTCTCGGTAAATCGTTCATTACATGATTATAGGGTTCCCTACTATAGTAAGTTAATGCATAGAAGTATTAGAATACGTTGGTATTTATGAAAATTATAAAATATTATTGCAGGTACAAGCAAAAATCGGTGAAGTTGACCATATGTTTTTAAAGATATCGTTTGACGTATATATTATAAATGCAAAAGATTTTAAAACCTAATTCATTTTTAGGTTTTCCAAAGGATTTACAAAGAAAAAAACACCGTTCCCATCATTTTAAACGACACCCAATCATTTGCCACATATGTGGAAAATTATTTATAAAAAAAGGCGAATACAACAAGCATTATTGCACTTATTTCCTAAAAATAAGCAAAACTAAAACCCAGAATAAAAAAATTACCAAAAATCAAGACAATACCGATAAAAACTATTATTTCAGTCAAGACAAATTTAAGTGTTCTAACTGCAGAAAATCTTTCAAGTTATTCGCAGACTTTGAAAAGCACTTTTCCACTCACAAGGGTGAAGAAAAACCTTTTTTATGCACAGTATGTCCTAAAAGGTTCGCCAAAAAGAAGTACCTTCAAAGTCATCTCATAATTCATAATGGCAAAACCCAGCACCAATGCAACGTTTGTTTTAAAAAGTTTACAGTTAAAAAAAGTTTAGTTTCCCACTTAAGAATCCATTCCGGGGATAAACCGTTCGTTTGTCCAAAATGCCCCAAAAAATTCACTTATAAAGAATCACTATTAGCCCATATTACCACGCATATGGTTGACAAACCTTTCAGATGTCCGATTTGCTCTAGAGATTTTAAAATAGAACAATATTTGAAAAACCATATGATCGTCCATACGACGGATAAATCATTTGAATGCAACTTTTGTCGAAGAAAATATTTTCGCAGAAATGATTTAAAGAAACATTTGGTGACACATTCTGACGGTAGAAATTTCAAATGCAACTTGTGCCCAAGTAGGTTTTATGCAAAGTCGGACTTAAAAAGACATGTTAATAAACACACAGTAAAAAAATCGTTCACTTGTGCTATTTGCTCTAAGTCTTTTACAGAGAAAACTGTGCTGAGATGCCATATCCAACGACATAACTCACAAAAGGATTACGGTTGTATTTCTTGTCAAAAAAGATTCTTTTCCAAGACCGAATTAAAAACGCATAAACGTGTGCATACAGGAGAACGTCCTTATAAATGTTCGAATTGTTTAAAATGTTTTTCAAATTCTGCTGTTTTGAGAAACCATATGTTTACGCATCGAAATGAAAGATTATTTGAGTGCTCGACTTGCCAAAAAAAGTTTACGCAAAAATGCATCTTGATGTGCCACAAAAAAATACATTTAGCAGGAAGAGAAAAAAAATTTCAATGCGCTAATTGCGATAAAAAGTATTTCACCAAATCTGCTTTGATATCGCATCTAAAATTCCATTCTGAAGATCGACCATATCAATGTGCTGTATGCTTTAAGTCGTTTTTCACTAACAGCCATGTACAGCGCCATCTTATTAGTCATATGACTGGTAGACCATTTAAGTGTCAAATATGTAAAACTGGTTTTAGATCTAAAGAATATTTAACCCAACACATTAAGATCCACAGTGGAACTAAACCATTTTCTTGTGGAGTTTGTGGAAAGAGGTTTTTGAAGAAAAACATTTTAACTGAACATGTGAGGATCCACACTGGTGAAAAGCCGTTTTCTTGTGATGAATGCGGAAAAAGTTTTGCCGCTAAATCAAATTTAACTCATCACGTAAAGAAACATTGAATATTGTGCCTTTTTATTTTGTTCGTTGCATGTTATTTTATAGTTTCAGTGTTCCATTGAATGTTGTGTTTATTACTAAATGTACCTATGTATGTTTTCATTTTTGCAACCATATTTTATTAAAGAAAAAGTATCTGAATCACACCGTTTGTTATTATTTTATAGTTCACCGTAGAAACCTACCTTCGAATAAAGTTCAAATGTGCTTCTGGTGTCATTAGTAACTGTTAGTAACTATTATTGAAAATGAACTTATATTTCAATTATTTTTAATTTTAAACTAAGTAAGCCCAATCCTGGCTTTTTATAAGCGTATTTGTACGCCAATAAAATGCCGAGTTCAAGTTTGACAAACGTCACAAACTAAGATGCACATTGACCTTAAATTAATGCCTACTTCAAAGTTAGAGATGGACAAACTTTTATAATAAATAACCAGTAACTTTCTAATAGTGTATCGTACTCAATATAGATGTGAAAAACGAAAAATGTAAAAATAATTATCTTTTGTCGAACAGCTGCTTGCAAAAACACATTAATTGAGCAGAACCAACAGTTGCACACTGATACATTCCATCTTTTTTATCACCAGAAGCAATATTGTAATCGTTCTGCAATGAAAGGAGATAAAACAGAAATCCAATGCCATTACGAGTTGTTAAAAGTAGCTTTAAATTTCCTAGGCGAAGAAAATTCAAAAGTAAAGATGTAAATGCATCAGACATAGTTATAGGTTCTACTCACACTTCTAAAGCTGAAATCTACAATACAGATGAAAAGGTGACGGAGCGAGAAATAATGTCGTTATCCAATTTCTTTTGAAATTTAATCTACTTTTAGAAATAGGTACTTGTTTATTTTTGTGTTTTAGAATTCGTTTTATTTGTTTATTTTTTTTTTAAATATGTACTGTAATTATATTGATCCAGGTATAAACAAGCGGTTCAAAACCAATAATAATTTTACCGCGAAGGCAAGATAGAACCCAATAGTTCTGTTCTTTTTGTTCGGCGAACGCTTTTTAACTACTGCGAAATCGTTACTATAAAGATTTGTTCGGGTTTCTTTAAAACTCGATGCAAACGGTCCGAGAACCAGTGGAATAGCTCAATTCCAAACTATTAAACTGTGCACTGGTCAACTAGTCCTCTGATAGTTCTCACTGTATTTTTGAAGAACCCGAACAGACCTTTAGTAATAATTCGGTTCAGGATTCTCACCGCGAACGAAGCTATTATTTTGAACGAGATCGGGTAATTAATGGTATATATGGTATAGTTCCATATTAACGCCTCTATTTTTAAGGTCGATGCACCTCTATCCTCGATAGGGATCATGGCGGTTACTTCTCAGTAAACATTAAAATTAAAATAAATAGTTAATTTTAGTACTGAAAATTAGTTCGGTTAATGAAATTAATCAAACTTATTCCTAAGGAATCAAGGAGTAATTACCGGTCTTTGAAAAATTAGAAGTTCGTTAACATAACCTATTTTCAACAGTAAAAATGTCTAGAGCTCAGCCAAATTCGCACGTGCACCAAGATAACTCAGTCGTAGAAAGAAGATTGAGGCCTATTTACGGTAAGTTTTAATAAGTTCTTATATATAATTTAATTAATAAACTAAAGAAATACCGGGTGTACATTTTGTGAGGTTATGTGATATCAAAAATATCTCCCTGATTTTGTACTAATTTTAATTATTGTATATTCTTTTTTTAGATTGGCTGGACACCGGAAATAATAAAAAAGCATTACAGGAATGTGATAAGGTTCTTAAAAAGACACCTAACTTACAATGTGCGAAGGCTTTGAAAGCCCTAACACTTCATCGCATGGGTAAAGAGAGTGAATGTATTGTTATATTGGATGTTCTTACTAAAGAGATCCCTTCTGATGATGCCACTTTACAGGCCATGGCACTGTGTTACAGGGAGATGCAAGAGTGTAAGTATTGAGCTATATTTTAGGTTAACATTTTGGACAAGGATTTTAATAATATTTATTAAAACACAGAATGCATATCTCGGTATTTGATAAAGGTGAAGAACAATGTAGAATCAATATTGTCATTATTAAAATAATAAATACTTTATTTCATTTGAATACATTCAACGAGAGAAATAATATTACTTAATAAAAATCTTACTGTTCTTATTCTGGTTCAAGATTATATGCAATTTAGTACGGTTTAGATCACATAAGTTATTAAAATTGAATGTTCAGGAGACTTGACCAAAGTATTAGTCTTATAAAAAGACTAAAAAGGGTAATATCAAGTCGAGATGGTACCCTGAAACTGTATAATGATTTTCTAAAGCAAACTGGGACAGCACACTTTTAAATAGGTAACTGATATAGATTTGTTACAGTTCTATTGTGACAGTGATATCAAAATTCAATATGAAATGACGAAAACCTCTCAGTAGCCTGAATTCAATTTTGATATAATGTATTTAGAATCATGCTAAGGCAATCCCATTCTTTATAACTGATAAATATAGAGGAATTTAAAACTTCTGATATCAGCAAAACTAATTCATTTCTAACAGGAGGTAATTTAATCATTTAGAAGCAAATAATGCCATCCCTCTTATGTGATCATTAAATGTAAATTTTTGATCAAATTATTGCTCTCAGATCTTTAAATGTTATCAAAGTCATTGTAATTTGTTACTTTGTTCAAAGTTATCAGCAAAAAGCAATGCTAGGTATTAGTGATGATGTAAAAAATGAGGCAAATCAAAATAGTAAGATAACTGAACCACTAATTGGCACTATTAAACATAATATGTTTTTTTCTTTCTAATTTATAGTTTGTTGATTTCATTGATGGTGAGGTAGTTTTAGAACTAATATTATTTTTTCTATTAAGATCTATAGAAAGTCTTTTGAAGCACTTCTAATGGACACTTGATTTTTTCGTGTACCAGTAACACAAACTAAAGGAAATCTTTTTTATTTATTTTATAATTTTAATAAGCTAAGTGACAAACATGAAATTCCCAACTGAATATGCATATAATTTTTGTAACAATAAACATGTTCTAGTTATTGACACTTCTTATATATAATTGACTAGAACCAAATAGCTGTTACATCTCATATTTAAAAGGTTGCTTACATATTTTTAGACATTCAACAACTCTCTGTATAATTTATGACTTTTACTAATTTACTTATACCTATAATAAATTAAACTTGAAAAAAAATTATTTAATTAGTCTCCAATCCTAGAATTGAACCTGAGACCTCTGCCTGAAAGACAAATGACCTAGTCACTGCTCTATCACCACACATAATATTTTAGTTTTAATACTCATAATTATATTGATTTCATATAGTTTTATTAAATTGTATGCTTTATTTTTAAATATAGATGAAATAATAATAGAAATGCTATTATTTATCAAGAATAACTCATTTTAATGTATATTTAATTTTAATAACTAAAAAATATACTGACAATTTGTTTGACAGAATTGTGACTAATTTAAAATTAAAAAAAATAATAGTATGAAGGTCAATAACCTATAATCCGCTACAATTTATAAAACTGCATGATCTATGTTTTAATAATTATTTTCCGAAATTTATCTACCCCAATATTATACTGTATTACATATTAGTGATTGATGACATAATTTGTGTGCAAACAAAGTTGTTGTTTTTTAATCAATATTTCAAGTGAGTTTAGATCTTAACATATACAGGGTTGACCAATAAAAACTCCCAGACTGGATATTTTTGTTAATTAATAGAGATATTTTAATTCTGTAAAAACCAGTTCACAGAGCACTAAGAGAGCTTCAGTTTTAGATATAAATTAATTTTAAATAGGTCAATATGTAGATGGCGCTGCGCTCAATATTTTTAAAGCAGCTTTTGTTCTATAAACTAATTCAATAAATCTAGCCATTTTTGATATACAGAGTGGGTCACTCAAAACAGTTTCATCTGGTTTTTTGGCATTAATCATTGGATTTTTAGAAAATGCTAAAACAGGTCGATTGTTATTCCAAATTAATTTTTTTTTTACAATACAGACATCTGTCATGTGTCAACCCCCTCCTTTCCACTTCTCCAATTCCTTAATTTTAAATAAGGAATGTACCATGTACAGCACATCATTGAAAAAGTATTTTTATGGGGAAGTCAGAAATATGACTGTTTATTGCGATACTTTTAATTTTAACGTCCTCTATCGGGATAAAAAAACCTGTAACGTATTATAAAATGTAACACTTCATTTGAAAGCTAATTTAATTACTAATTCAATGCACCACATAACATTAATATAAATATTTCCATATTGCACTTGCAACAAAATAAAGTTAGCAGTAATGTTTCAAATAATGCATGACTAATTTTTAACCTATTGCAAGTGCAATATGGAGGATATTTATATTAATGTTATGTGGTACATTGAATTAGTAATTAAATTTGCTTTCAAATAAGGTACCACACTTTATAATACGTAGTTTTTTATCCCGATAGAGGCCAGGGCAATTAAAAGTATCGCAATGAACATTCATATTTCTAAATTCCCCATAAAATTACCCTTTTAATGATGTACTACACATTGTAGTAGTTTTTTATACCGCTAGAGGGCGATAAAATTTAAGTAACGCAATGTACAGAAATATTTCTGAATTCCCATTAAATTACCTTTTCAATAATGTGCCATACATGGTACATTACCTATTTAAAATTAAGGTGTTTGAGAAGTGCAAGGGAGGGGGTTGACACATAACAGATATCTGTATTGTAAAAATATTTTTAATTTGGAATAAAAATCGACCTATTTTAGCTTTTTCTTAAAATCCAATGATTAATGATCAAAAAAAGGATGAAACCCGTTTTGAGTGACCCACTCTGTACATCCAAAATGGCTAGATTTATTGAATTAGTTCATAGAACAAAATCTGCTTAAAAATGCATTTTTTGCAAGATGGGCTACACAAGAAAGATCATCCTATCAAAAAAAAAAAAAAACTATTAAGTGCAGCGCCATCTACATATTGACCTATTTAAAATCAGTTTATATCTAAACCTGAAGCTCCCTTAGTGCTCTGAGAATTGGCTTTTACAGAATTAAAATATCTCTATTACTTACCAAAATATCCGGCCTGGGAGTTTTTATTGGTACACCCTGTATATTCCTAAAAATAGATAACCATTTTAGTTAAATAATGGTTTAGTAATCAGTTCTGCAAAACAAAAATAGAGGTTATGCTAGAATATTTATATTTAATTTAATTTGTTTTCAAGAGTATATTATTAATTTAAAAGAATACCTTTTAACTAATTTAAAAAAAAAAAATTAAAAACTTAAATTGATCCTGTATTTTTTTTAAATCTGCAAACAGTATAAAAAAAGTTTTAGAATATTTTATTTCTTATCCAAAATATTTTTTTCACTAAAATGCAGCATGGTTACTAAAAAAATAGATCCTCACACAGCTTTTTCTTGGTTTATTAAAGATATTTCAGACAATAATAGAAAACAATAATTTAACATTAGTCTTATCAAAGGCATAAGATTCATTAAATCCAGAGTATTTTTTAAGAAAATTCGATATATATGGAATAAGAGGAAAAGGAAATAATTGGTTCGAACATATTTTTCAGAAAGAACTTAAAGAGTAGAAATAACAAAAATCAGAGCTAGTGTAAAATCAACCTTATTAATTAATAAAACTGGCATAGCTTAAAAAAGTGTAATCGGATCTGTCTTATTCATAATGTTTTAAAATGATTTATCGAACATAATTCAAAATAGTATCATACATTTTGTTAATAAGATGATCAGAGAAAAAACGTATTTTTAGAAACGGGAAAGGACCTTTTCAGTAGAACAAAAAAAAAATGGTTTGAACAAATAAATTATTCTCAAATGTAATGAAAACTAACATTGTTGTTATCAGTACAGATAAAATTAGAAAAGTATGCTTTTGCAATCAAATAATGATATTTTCAAATGTACAAAATTCTTAGATATCTTTATTGATAATTTTTTTAAATAGAAAAGATATACTGAATTATCTTTGAGTCAGTATTAATATATGGGTTATGTTCTGGGAAATGGAATCTTATTTGAGAGAGGCGTTTATTGCACAAAAAAAGGGTATTAAGAATTATTGACAAATTACCTTTACAGGAAATCATATCTAGAGGATTATTAAAACAAAAATAAATTTGAACTTTAAGTATTTTTATATAAAAATAAAGAAAAATTAACATGAAATAGCACTTTTTAATATAATAGGTGCAAGACCGTTAAACAACACTTTTTCCAATTCATCATTTAACACTCACAGAAAGAAGTCCATTATATTTGCCAATATATTTTTTAATAAACTTAACAACTCTATTGAAGATTCCTATATGTAAAAAATCATTTAAACAGAAAATTCAAATAACCCTAACAAATCTACACTAGGAGTCATAGAAAACAGGCCACCCAAAAAATTACGTAATTATCTATTTTTTTAATTATTTCTTATTTTTGTTGCAATAAATCTATTGTGTCTTGAGTTGATATTTCTTTTAGCATTTCATCCGACATTATCACGAACAATAAGGAAAAGTACGGGGAGGGTGGCTCAGTGGTAGAGTCTCTGCCTGTGGATCCAAGGATCACTTCCTCAAATTTTTCCATGACTGTCCATTTTAGAGAAATCGTGTAGGGAACAAAAATTATGATATCGCAAACAACTTTTATTTAAGGGCCATTTTAGGAAAATTATGTATAGGACAAAAATAATAGAGAATAATATTACGAGAAACTTTTATTTGAAGAATTTTTTTCTTCAATCCCAAATAACACTTATATTCCATAAAGTATAAAAACGACCCCTTATAAAGTACCTCCAAGATGTTCCGACTCTGCCATTTCGAAAAAATGCTTACGTTTAAAATTTAGTGTTTTTCTCTGTATGTTCATGGGTTATCGAGTATACAGACACATACAGGCATCATCGCGAAAATAGTACAAACGGATTCATGGGACTCCAAAACGTAAAAGTCCGTCGAAAACTCGAGGTCGAAAAAATCATGATTCCTATACTTTATTTGTTTACATACAGACAGAAAAGCAAAACATAAGATTTATAAAAATATACATAATTGGATAAATTTTTTGCGTTGCCCGTTTTTTTTCACACACAGTGTAGAACCCTGCAGTTTAAGATGAAAAACAGAGGTTGTGTCTATGTTTCTTTGAAACATATGACATATCCACCTGATCTTCGGCTTTTTTTTTTCTTACACCCTTGTTTAATTACTGTATTTTTGTTATTATGGATGTAGAAAAAAATAAAGACCTTTACTATTATTATTTTTATTATTATTAAATAATTTTTTTACTTCGTTATTGCGAATCATACTTTCCGCTCTTTAAATGTTATAAACTTTTTTGGAGAGGACATTTTTTTATTTAATGTATGTCTGAATATTATTTAAAAAGTAAAATAAAATAACAGAATGGTTTGTTTTTATTTGAAACAAATTACGTCCCACCAATACATCCTATTGCAAAATCATAATTTTAACAACAGAAAAATATGACTTAAAATATTTATGTTTTTTACTTTGGATAATATGTTATAATAGTTATCCATAATAAATAAATACCTAAGAAGGAAAATATTATACACATTTCGAGAGTATTGTTTATCTTAAAGTCACAAGTGTTACTGTAAAAGACTTGTAAAAAGTATTCTTTGAAACATTTTCAGTGGAAAAAATATGCAAACTTTACGAAATTGTCGTTAAAAATAATCCAAATAACGAAGAACTGCACACACATCTTTTTATGTCTTACGTCAGAATATCAGACTTCAAAGCTCAGCAGCAAACTGCGATGTCTTTGTACAAATCAAAACCCAAGAATCCCTATTACTGTTGGGCTATTATGTCAGTAATCCTTCAAGCTACAAGAGGTAAGTCATCAATAGATGGTGTTTTATTGGTAAATGGACAAACGGTAACTGTATTGTATTTATCACTTATATATTATCAGGATTGTTTTTTTCTAACCAGTACAGATGTTTTTAAATTTTCTAGTTTAACTTGAAGCTCATCAGGTAAGGCGACTGCTTGTAAGCGGGTTTGATTTTTAATTTTGGAGATGATACATCAAAACACCATTGAAATCATTTAAGGTACCTGTATATTTGAACGGTATACATTTACAAGTTTATTGCACAAGTATGATTGAATATCGCATCGACAACACATGTACAAGTATGCTTACATATTGCGCCAGTATAAAATTGAACCATTTTATTATCAGACGACAACGGGTTTGTTTTGGTTCAAACAGAACCGTCGATTCCAGTTCTCAAATACAGTGGACCAATTAATTTTTCAAGAACACGTCCGCGAGGTTATAAGAACCTCTTAGATGATCGAGTGTAATTCAGCGATTCTGAACTAGTTTCTGAAAGAACCAAAACAAACCTAACGCGTTGGCCGCTGTTGAATTCTTTGTTCTCCTTCGTGTGATTCGTTCGGAAGGCGATAATTTTTTTAACTGCTCTATTAGGATCTCCTTTTGGGTCTATTTCCCCTTAATTTTTCTATTAGTTTTTTAAATACTGCTTCCCTCTTTCCCCTATATTGGTACTCTTTTCTTTTAATGTACCACATACATGACTCAGGTTCATAAATAGAAATAAATTATTCGAAACATTGTCCCTTTTTTCAAGTGACTCGTCATCACATCAAAATCGTAAATCGCACTACTTTAGGAAAAATCAAATCTCAAATGTTTCAAGCTTTCACATACACACGCTGAATTCCACTTGTGCAAGTCCAACATGCACAAATAAAAATATAGAATTTCCACAAGTCTCATGTCACGCCTACAATTAATGTACTTGTGCAAATTTTACCAAACACACGTTCCAGTATAAATGAATAAACTTGTACTACATGTATACTGTTCAAGTATACTGGTGTTAAATTGTACAAATTTAAAAATTCAGTAATTGAGTTTCAAGTTGGTTATTTTTTGGTACACTTGAATTTTCCAACAACCATTTCATAAGTTGTATTGAATGGGTAGACACTTGCAGTGAACATTTTTAATATTCGCTAGTTCGGTGTGGTGTCATTTTGGTTCCACTGACATTTAATTCTAACCAAACTTTTAACAAAAACATCAATAAATTTGACAAATACGTTTTTACTGTTTTTAGTTTATTTCTAAATATTTTTTACAGGTCATAAAAAATAGTTTAAAGGTATGTAATTGGTAACTAAACGATTGTATTTTTTGATGCATGTTATCTACTTACTTTAGGAATATATTTATAAAACTGAAAAAACTATATAATTTAGGTAAACAAAACGCACACAAAAAAGCTACTGTCACTTTAATTGTCAGTGGAACCATAATTACATCATCACTGAACTAGCGTATTGCTAAGTAGTCGAGTCCACTGTACAATATTTTTTCTACATACCTACTTACTCTCGTTAGTTTATTGTAATTTATAATAAAGTCTCCATCTATATCTGACATACTTCTCTCATGGTCATCCATTAGAGACAGACAATACTCTGATAAATATGGCACTTTTAGATAGATCTCCTCCCGATAGTTACTTTTTTTCATTAACCAATGAAACACTGCATCATTTTCTTTTATTTTATCATTTATCGATATATTTCGACAGGTGAAGGCTTAAACGATCCACAAAAACGTCAACTGCTCCTCAGCCTTGCCGAAAGAATGTTCACCAAATTACTTAACGATAACAAAGTTGACGCCGAACAGGAAGTACAACTGTATATCATCATTTTAAATCTGCTGAACAAACATGAAGACATACTGAACATCTTGAACGGTCCGTTGGGTACGAAATTGCAGTGTGCGAACATACCCCAAAGCAAATTAGAGTACTTGATAAAGTTGAAGAAATGGAACGAAGTTAATATTATTTGTAAAGGAATTTTAGTTTATAGGTAATATATTGTTAAAATAGATAAAGGTAAACCATGAAATTATTTCTTTCTCATATGCGTCTGTATTTTCAGGCTTCATATATCATTTGTCCCTGGCTATTATCTTCATCTCTATCAAAGTTTCCTCTTATAGATTCAGATCTCTTTTGGATTTGGTCAATCCATTGGGCCTTTCTCGATGCCCTTTTCTTTCTAATTTCCATTACTTTTCTTGATATTCTGTTTAGTCAATCTTATGACATACCAGTTTAATTATTTCTTTTTGACCTTTGTCGTTATTATTCATTTCTTACTCTGTTCCATTTAGTTTTTGCCGATATTTTTCTCAAAAAATGTTTTATATCCGTTCTTTAGTACGTTTTTATAATACTTAATTAATAATAATAATAATAATAATAATAATAATAATAATACTTTATTGAGTCTTAGGAAATCTAAATGTCTTTTATATGCTAAAGACTTGAAATTTCACAACTCTTTTTCTTGGGGTATTACATCGTACTTTACCCTCTGTCTTTCGACTATGTTTGGGGTCTTGTTGGGACCCAAAAAACAAAGTGATACCTAAATTATAAGCTTACAATCTGTATGCAATAGCTGACCGTTCTTTTAATATTTTCAGTGTGGATAGGTGGGATATTTGGAAAGAATATATAAATTCTATGTTTGAATTAATGCCCAATTCGAGCACGTCAGTTCCAGTCGAAAGTAGTGGAGATGACATTGAGTCGCCTGATGATACACCTGAAAAAGCTCATGAATTTATCTGTGGTATAGTTGAAAACGGCACGGAGAATGGTAAAATTATATTTTTCCTTTGTCTTACATTTTAGATTTTTCTTTTCTATTTATATATGTATTTGTTTTTCAAATAAGAATTCTCCATTAAATCAGTTTATTAAAATTTGTCAATTACGATAAGAACAGCCTGTTGCATAAATGTTCTTTAAAATGTATGTGCCTGATATTAGTCTAAGATCCGGCATTAGAAAGTTCTATATGTTTAAACATAGTTAATTTATTTACACTAATTACTAATTAATTTATTTATACTTAGTGTAAATAAATTATAAATAAACTTATAAGTAAATAAACTGTTTTAAAATAAACAAACGGTACATTGGCATTAGAAGTGGAACTGTAAATAAATAGTGGACAAAAATGGCTAAAAAACTGTGGCTGAGTTGCGCCAAGAACTAGAGGATCATGATCTGGAGACGACAGAGAAGAAAGGTAACACAGTGGGTTAAAGAAGCACTCGAAAGGGAAAGGTTTGGACTTTATCTCCCATTTGAAAGTACCTAAAGTAAGGAGCTAAAAAATCATATTTTTTGTTTGACTCTAATACACCAAGTTGTCAGTGGCACAGGAACTCTTTACTCTAATACTTATCGTGGGTTTTAGACAGAATCTTGAATTGAGACACAACTAACAATATTTGAAAATTATGAAAATTAACCAGTACAAAGTACAAACATTAGGTTTAAAAATGAAAATAAAAAATGAACTTGAACGCTTCTACCGCTACCATCTTCCAGCTAATTACCGGACAGTTGATTCCCAATCGCCTCGTGCTTTCAGAACTCAACACTCCCCACACTTGGAACCGATACGACTTAGCTTAACATACCCTGGGTCTCACCCACCGAAACGGCATGGACTGGCCCACCCCACCATGGTTATTGGCGGGTTATTTAAATGGTCGGGCGTTTGAAACTGGTACACATATTTAAATAGATGAATTGGAGTAGATAATTATATTTGTTAGACAATTATAGAACCATCAGTCTCCTTAGCTCTTTTCCAAAATATTTGAACTCAGTATATGAGCAACTATTCTAATTTTTTATAGATCAAAAATTGTTTAGTTAAATAATCGTAACAGCAACAGGGCCAAAACATTTTATTTTTCTAACTTCTACTCGAGAGCCACATATGGTATTCTGCTATGGGGGTCAAGCACAGATGCTACAGATATATTCAGGATACAAAAACGAGCTATCCGTATAATGAACAAAACAGGTTTTGCTGAATCTTGTAGAACACATTTTAAATCCTTAAATATACTTACAATTCATGCATTATACATATTTAAGTGCATTACATTTTTATTTATAAATATTCTTTATTTTGAAGATTACAAATCTACTCAAGCTTATGGTTGCCTAAGACAAACCTGACTGTACTTACGGTTGTTGCTGTTTGAAAAATCATATTTCTATGGGCTTTGATCCATGTTACACGCAAGAACACACAGTGGCAACTGCTGGGTGAAAGATAAGGGGGATTACGTATTCCATTCTTCGTGTGCCACGAAACCCTGTTAATTCTTACATGTGTTCTGTTTTAGATAATCTCGTTTTCAGTGTTAATGTTTTATTAAAATTGTATAAAAATGAAGACGTGTTTTCTCTTTGGTTTAACTTCAGATGAATAAATAAACTAAATAAGTAACAGTCATCCTGTAACATAGGCTTTGTTTTGTTGGAAGACTAACAAATTGAAATATAGGGGAGGTGTTTACATTACATAAATTTATTTTATTATCTTTAAGACAGAAGAGGGCAGAACTTTCTAATTCCGAATCTCGTATATAAACTAAGCAGAGATTGAGAATGTATTCTGGCTTAATGACGTGAACTTGAAATTATTCAGTCTTAAGTACTTTTCAGAATTTATCAAGCTCCTAAATTTTAATAGTCGTTCTTGCAATCGTCTATGAGTATTTAATTAAATTGAAATGCCCTTATGAGGTCAAAGACAATAAATATTTAATATTATAAATCATTATAATAAGTTCAAACCATTACGATACACAAATTTGCCCAACGCTGTAGAAAACATGAATTTTAGGTTATCTGCTTCGCGGTCCGTATCTAGCGCGCTTCGAGCTGGGTTCAAAGATGCGCGAAAAAAACATGAACTTTACGGACATTCTCGGCGATTTGACCGAACTCTTCATCGAATACTTTCGAAAATTCGGACACAAGCAGTGCTGCGTCACCGATTTGAGGTTGTATTTAAATCTGTTGGATTCCGAGAAGAAGGTGGAATTAGCTGCTAGATTAATCAAAGACGTGGGAATTAGTTCAACGAGCGTTCCGCAAACGGTAAGAATCTGTTAGATAATAACATGGCAATTACCAATCATTTCTTTAAATATTTTACAACATACTAATCATGGCAATCGCCTGCAACTTTACACGCTCATAATATATGCACATATTAATTCTCAAAAACAGAATCTAAATATAAAACCTTTAATAAACACGCACTTCAAAAAAAGGGGAATAGCCATACGCCGTATTTGTATATCAACCTTACTTTCTGTGACAGCCTTAGTGGAAGGCAAAGGTTAAGCTCATCCCGCTTATAAACTACCTGACAAACTCGGTTGCCAGAAGTTGATTTTTATTTATATATAGACATTTTTATTATTAAAATCAAGTTATATTTCTAATTGACATTTTAGTATTTATCGGTTGGCGAGGGATACCTGGTCAGAAAATTTTAATACTGCAAACAGATTTGCTACCAGAGCTATAGTTAAATTTGTTATTGAAATTGTTCTAGGAACATCAAATGCAACGCCACATATGTGCCCTACAATTATCGAGGTTGTGCGGTGGTCATCGAAACCTCTCCTCGGAACACCTCAAGGCTCTAATTACGGCCTTATCTCTCCATTATCAACACGGCTATCAAACATACGGGAAAAATTTGCTGACTACCGACTTGGGACCGTCCGATCCATACGCGCTCATGGCCGCTCACGTTCTTTACGATTTGGCGTTGACCGAAAATAGTTCAAACTGTGTCGTGGTGGCGCTGATGTTGTTGGAAAGTTTATTGAAAAATTCGCCTAACAATTTCCACGCAAAGTTGTTGGCAGTGAAGCTGTATCATGTTTTAGGTAAGACTCGATTAAATAAAAAAAAAACAGCCGAAGTTTCAGATCCCTCAACAATAGAACCGACTTGAATGAACTTTAAGACACACTTTAGACATTAAGATCTCAAATTAGGGTAATAAATTTTAAAAAAGCGCTATTTAAGGATTAATGTATTTTCATTATATTTTGAAATTTAAAGCTACTTACTACCTAACAAAAACTAGAAAGAATTAAAATATAAAAATAGGAACATTGCTAGATAATATCATCTAATTTATTTTCCCGAAATTTCAATTTTTAACTAAAATACTTTTTGAAATATCTTTGTCCGAAAATTATTAGGGGTGCTGTAATCTGCTTAAAATGTAATCTAAATACTGTAAGTCTACATAATTCGGTTCTGTTATTGACTGTTCGGCTTCATTGTTACATTTAAAATAACTCTTTTTTTTTTTTTTTTTTCATTCTCATTCAGGTGGAGGCCTAAGCGCTCACGAAATGTATAACAGTATGGACGTGAAGCATCTGCAGCTGGACTCCTTAGGATACATTCATTGTGCCCGGTTACCCACTACCGGATTGTTTACGCTATGTACAAATTTATTCGATACGACTCTTAAATTTTTTTCTAGCAATTACAAAGATGTAAGTATACAAGCGGAATGATAGCGAGGATTGTTGGTTCAATAGACAATCAAGTTCACTTTTATTTTTATTATCAATTTGAACGTTATGTTGCAGTTGCAAGATCGGAATTGGAAAAACAAAAACTTACATTTAACTACCCATCAGAAGTGTCATTATATTTCTTGTCAACCACTCAACTGACTAAAAATATCTCTTTTCAATTTCGTTATTGGCCCTTCTTGCACTCGCCCTCAGACATAATATGCCATACATTTAATTGATTTTTTCAATATTTTTAATGTGGGATCGACATTTTTTAATAGAGGCCCAGTTTTTTAATAAATTATGCAAAATTCAATAAAATGAGGATTTGTTCTGTTCTAAGCAATGTTATCTTGTAAACAAAAATAAAAGTGGACCGGTCCAACAGTCCTTGCGACGTTCCGCCATATTGGAGTAATGTTGCACGTTTTCAGAGTTCAGATCATCTGACGTTCTCTTACAAGTTCGGTTCTTTTATGAAAATAGACGAATTCATGGATTTCAGGGAGCGGCTGAACAACAGCCTGCACTACACAACTGTCGCAGTCGATAGGATAATGTTAAACTTAGTCGAATGCATGTCGTTAGAAACTTTATATTCGTTAGCCATATCGCCGAAAGATAATGATATTAATTGGGAGTTGTTAAGGTAAGAGCAAATAAATAATACAAACCTTTTGAGTTTGAATTCAAAATATCATAATCAGGGAAACGCGTTTAATTCTATATCTCGTAAAATATGGGTCTGGCGACAAAAGTTTAGTCAAACGATGTGAACTAGAAAGATATTTCTTTTATTTTAAACAATTTTAAACTGTTTGTATTCGTCCCTATAATTTTAAAAATTGACTGTACCTGAAAAATTTTACTTTCCGAAACGTATGTAGTGTGCTAAACAATAAAAATAAAAACATTTGACCGATAAAACCAAAGAAAATTTTTATTTATATAAAATTCTACTACGGTCAGGAAATTATCCTTATTTAAATTTAATAGGATTTCCAACTGCTTCATTCCACCAATTCCTGTACTGAGGAAATATTTTAATAGATTTTATTGGCACAACTTCGTCCAATACATTGACAAGTTTCAAATAAAAATGATTGTATCTCTAATTCGAGTCTGTAATTCCATTTAACTATCTAATTTTTCATTTATTTTAATGTAATGTTTGTACCATGGTTTCTTATTACTGTAAGTTCTCTATTATGTGATATTTTATTTACATGATAGATTTGTTGCAATGAACAACTTTTATACCGTCTTATGAACGGCCACAAAACTATTTGGACCAATTAAATCACTAGGTTTTGATTTTTTAGTTAGGTTAGGTTGAAAATGAGTGGGATGATCTCATCGCCTTCCACTGCGACCCAGATGGATCTATTGTGGCTTATGTCTAATTTATAGTTTACCGTACAAGCCACACCTTTTGATGAAGGCCATGGTTGATTTGGGCAAGACTTGTTTAAAGTCGGTAGGCTCCAGTCGAGTAAATCCGAAGATCTGGAACCTAGTTCATTCCAAAGCGGAGCTGGTACATAAAATGTGCTCTGCAGATTCTTCTTCCACGCTGCAGAATCGACAGTCCGATGTTTGTTGCAGACCTATCCTCTCATGTGGTTACCCAGACGACAATGTCACGAGACGTTCGTGGAAGGGTCGATTATAAACGCCTTTGAATTTAGCATTGGGACATCTCTCCCGTTCGTGACTGTTGCACCCTCCGTCCATTTTGAGATAATTCCTTTGGCAGTGCTCTTTGGAATGCCTAGGAACGGTTCTGCTCCTATGAACTCAGAATCGGTTGCTGTTCTAGCGAGCGCGTCGGCTTTTTCATTCCCCTCCACACCGCTGTAACTCGCGGAACCCAGATCAAAGTAACTTTTTTCCCTTGCACCGAGACACTCGATGGTATTTGACTCAACTTGATTGGAGCCCAGGGTCTTGAGGGCTGCTTGGATATCCGAAAAGATCTTTATAGTCTTGTTTGCGGGGAGAAAATTAATCAACTCTCTCGCTCCCAATTCTATAGCAATCGTTTCTCCTTGGAAGATCGTGGCCAGAGAGCCTAGGTTTATTGATATGTCAGCTCTTGGCTTCTGGTCAAAAACTCCAGCTCCTGCTTCTTTTTTAGTTTTGGAGCCATCCGTGTACAGCACATAGCCGCCTTGGAGAGGGTTTTATCCCCCTGCTCCATACCTTTTTCTGGAAAGAGGACGCTGTATGGCTTTTCTATGTGCTGTCGGGGACCTAGCGAGTCTGAGACCATGCCGAGGATGTAGTGGTTATTAATCTCACTCATCAGCCCCGTCTTGTCCCATCACAGTTCTACCCACCTTCAGGAGTCTATAGGAAGGAGACCATCCCTTTCCAGCGAAATGTGGAGAGGGATTAGGTCCAGCATGGTGTCCATGGCTCCTGTTGGTGGGTTTCACCATTGTTTGGTAAATCCAGTAGATCAGTTGAGGACTGATCCCCATGCTTTGCCGCATATCTTTCGGAGGGTCCAGGTAAGTTTCTTATCTAGGATAATCCCCTGATATTTTACCTCCTCCGCAAAAGGGATTGTTTCCCCGGCCAAGGTAGGTTGCCGAAGCTTGTCGAGCTGTTTTCTTTTGGTGAAGGACGATAACAGTTTACCGTGGGTTAACAGATATCTGCTCTCTCTAGCACTATCTGTTGATCGTATTTAGGGCTTGTTGAAGGATGTGATTTTTTAATTAGTTGTAATATTTGCAATAATCACTGTGCTATGTGTCTTTATAACTTTATTTCAACACCTGACACAATCATTTACAACAGTCAACTGTCAGTACATGATGTCTGCTGATAAGTGCTCAAAAGCGGATGTCAGTCCAAGTGGTTCCTGTTTTTATTCTTGTACCGAAATAATCACACAAAAACCAATTCATAAAAGTTGGAACTCTCTCACATATGCATGATGACTGGTCTCTTTTCACTAATCGCTGATGATCACGTCTGATACTTCTGCTTCGCCCTGCTGTCCACACTTTCTGGTTTAGCTGGGTACACTTGCAGTACGCACCGAACACAAAGGCTGTTCAAACGGGTTATTAAATATTACCAAAACATTACGTAGGTGATGTCGATTACACATTGAACGGTCATTTGTTTGTCGAAACCCCTCAAACCTACTGTGAAAGATCTGACTAAAAGCAGAAACCACTCTGATTTTATTTAAATTGTCGTGAGAGCCGAACAGTCTGGCACTGTCTAGATGTCGACAGCTACTCTGGCGATGTAGATGTTGTCCGCTGCGAGAAGTTACTGGAAAGATTCGATTCTCACCTGACGTCTCATAGAAGAAAGGCACCTTGAACATCGAGAATCTTCTCGAACAGAGCTGGTTTTATATAAATAGCGCGACTTTGTCTAATAAGTTTGTTAAAAATTAATATAAATCAGTGTAGTTTTGAGTACAAATAAATTAGTTATAAAATAGTTGGTGCATGCAGTGAATATAAATTAGAATAATTAAACTGTTTAAAATAAATAAATAAATAAATGCTACAATACTTCATCTGTATATCGCTGAAAGCTGATGTTTTTGTTATTGTGTCGTTAAAGTAAGGTTAGAAATTATAAAAATTCAAAACGGTTAAAGATCTTTGAAAATAGTATTGAATTAATCCAAATTTTTTTAGGCTGTTAAGAGGACGGTACAAAGGTTATTTGTTGGAACAAACCTATTATCATGTCCTAAATTTACAAACATCATCCAATTTTGAAAGCACTAAAAATTAAAATTTTACGGTTTTTCTAAAATTTTTCCATTATGGTCCATTTTAGAGAAATCATGTATAAAATAAAAATTATAGAGAATGATATCGCAAACAACTTTTTAAACAATTTTCTTAAAAATTCGGATTTTGCACTTTTTGTCAAATTTCTTGAATACGGACCATTTTAGGAAAATTATGTATAGAACAAAAATTATAGAGAATCACATTATAAGCAACTTTTATTTAAAACATTTTCTTCTCCAGATATTCCGACTATGTCCAAAATCTAATCGCATGATGGATTGAAGCTTGAGTTTAGAATTAGGTGTTTTTCTCTGTGGCCGTTCATGAGTTATCGAGTATACAAACAGACTCACACACACTCCTCATCGCGAATATAGTAAAAACGGATTCAGGGAACCCCAGAACGTAAAAATTTGAAGTCGAAAAAATCATGATTCCTATACTTTCCTTATCTAAAGTAAAAAGCTAAAATAATTAAACCTATTTTATTGCAAATGAACCCAAAAAAATTTGAATCATTAGTCATATCAAATTTAATTAAATTAGACATAATTTCACTAAATTAGACATAATTTCACTAAATTAGATCTAATAATTTTTAACAAATTCCAAAATCTAGTTAATGTTAAGCGGGATATCAAGTATTTTGTATTAGATGTGGCAACAGGGCTTGCATTTTGTACGTCGTTTATTATTGGCGTACAACGGCTTACACATATATTTATTGATAAAAATGTTTTGTCCTGTCGTCAAATCCTTCAGTTTATCCCTTTCCTTGCCTCACACCACATGTCTCTTCACTCCTGGTCTACAACTGGACCGTATCATAGTTTATAGCTAAAGAATCAGTTCGCTCACTCTGCGTCGGCACTTTTGATTTCAATGTTCCAGTTAATACACTGCGCAACTCGGATTTGTATCCCTGGCGCATACAGAATCAAATCATAACCAATACAATATATGACAACCGCCTATATTCAAACAGCATTCTTCTGCGCATTCTGAATTTGTATCCCTGAAGTGGGTGTTATTTTGGAACAACCAACTGGTCCTAGTGAGCTAACTGATCCTTTAGCAATAAACTGTGACCGTATCGACTGTGGTATCGATGTCGGCGTCACGAATATTATATTTTATCAATGGATAGCTATATCTCCTGTTATCTCTAGTTCGATCCATAGAACATCTCTTCAGGATACTCTTCTATAGGATAAACTATAAATACTATCCATACATTTTTAATCACAAATATCCTCTAGATAAAGATTTGACAAAAATTTTTCATTTCAGACTGGCCGTTTGGGTAGTTCAAAAATATATTTAAAAAAAATTCAAGCCAGATAGCCCAGTAGCAAATAAATAAAAGAAGATCATACCAATACCAATTTATAGCTTTATTCCAATTTTTCTTGTCCTAAAAGCTTCATTGCTTTGGCTATTTTAATTTCTTGGCTATTTTATCTAATATGATTATAACTGTTGGGCTTGCAAGCAAAAGGCATTAAGTCAAAAAATAGTTTTGTAAGTTATAAGCAATTTAAAGTTTCAATGAAGTTCTAATTTTTTTATAAATTAGGGATTATCAACTGCTTTAAAGAAACTTTACATGATATACAAAAATATAAACCCATTTTGACAAATTTTTGACTTAGTGCCTTTTGCTTGTAAGCCCACGAAATAATAGTGGGCGCAGACTATCCATACTCATAATGTAATATATTCCAGGGACAATCATGATCTTAGTGTAAATATATCTTGGGATCCGGAGAGGATAGACGGTTCGCCCGAAGATTGGACCATTACCAAAAGTCTGTTCGAACAGGACCTTCGGTTTTTAAAGCTTAGGACGTCCTTACTGTTTTCAATGGCGTCCAGTATCGATATCGTGAAATCTTTGGACGGGACCAGGCAGGAGCATATCCAAACTCTGAGGAAATCGTTGGACGAATGGCGGAGTTTGTACGAACGAACTGTCGATGATAATTTCGTTCCAATTCAACAGGTAATTGAATGTGTATTATTAGCTAAAGTCTGATCGCTTTATGATTACATTTATGTTACGTTTAAGTCGAATTATGGTGTGTGCCAAACATGAACAATGTATTTTTTATCCTACACCAACAGAAAACTCAATTTTGACGTCACTATAGAGACGTCAAAACGCATCTTTTCTTGGCTAGCCGGAAAAACAACTAGAAATGGCTAGCCATTAAATTAATCTCATTAATTTTCCGCCAGATGGTGCACCACTTAATTTTGACAGTTTCTTTCACAATTTATTATTAAATTATTTTTGTTGCTTTGTTTATAAAGAATAGAAACTTGTTTATTCTGTTACAGATTATGTGTTTGGTGATATCTATGATTGATATAGAGTAGACAAGTTGTAGTCACTTTTTCAAAATAAATTCTAAAGATAGGTTACATGTCGCAATACACATTACACATACATGTGTGTGTGTTGCTGTCAAGGTTAATATATAAATAATTTCTGGCAATATAGTGTCATTTTCTAAAACTTTTGTCATTTTTGTGGTTGGTACCAATGCAGATTTGCTTAATTAAATTCTAATTTCTTTTGAAGAAGCAATAATAATAATTTCATTTTAGTAAAGTTTTCTGTTGGTTCAGGATAAAAAATAGTATGTAAACCACGACAGTAAATTTGTTTTCCAGGCCTCGCAAAGTGTCCATTTCTTTACTCTGTCTAGAAAACAGTAACTTTACTGCCTAGGTATACAATATACTCTTTTTAAAGTATTTGAATAATTATGTTTTTTACTTGTTTTTTCGTACCTATTCCGAGTTTACCTTTTCCCAAGAGGTAGATTTATCATTTATTTGTAACACTCTATTTCTTAGTAGCGGATTATAATACAAATAAATACTCGTTTTAACCTGTCAGATTAAAACAAGAAAACCGACAATTCCGAAGCAGAAGCGGATGATTAAAACGAACCTATTAAAAATATTGCGCCAAGATGTAGGCAACACGTAATAAGGGTTCAAAATGGCGGAGTTTTCTATCTCCTTTTAAAAAGCACTCAGAAAGCTGCGCAGTGCGACCATTCTCCGTATAGTAAAAGAAAATCAAAGTATGTGGTTACGTTACTTTTGTGACAGATTGACATTCGACTTAATAGTAACCGTAAAAATATAGCGGTTGGTGAATTGACGTTTGAGTTACCAATTTTTGGTAACCGCGTCCTTAATTTAACCGATTTTTCAGGAATGTCAAGCAGAGCGGTTAGTTTTGGACCCCAGTATAAAGAATAATACAGTAGCGACAGATCATTTTTTATGAGGTGTCCATATTTTTCTGCGCATGTCCGAAAATAAGCGACAAAAACGTCAACGTCAATAGTGTCAATGCGATGTAAATATGACATTATTTTTGTTTGTTTGCAGTGTATATTTTGAGACATTTTTATTATTTTAGTTTTTCATTTATTGTGTGATATTTTTGAAATGGCTTCTGCACCTGATCAGAAAAAAAAGAGATGTGTCTATCGCCCTTGTCCATCTCAAACAGAGTAAACAGACAAAGGGACAAGTTATTTTGCATTTCCCATGGAGCCATAAAGGTATGTCTTGAGAAAATACTTTCAATTTTTATATTTGAAAACCAAATATTTATTTGACAACCAAATATTTATTATTTAAATGTCTTGAGGACAATTTTTACAATTTCAACAAAAATAATGTAAAAAATATATAATTTCTGAACTACCGTCAATCTAAACATTTGTTATCAACTTTTTTATATTTTAGGGCCAACATGTGGTTAAGAGCTTGTAATAGGGAAGATTTGAGTAACATAGATGTGAACAGTCTTCATCGGAATTACAGGTTGTGTGAGAAACATTTTGAGAAGAATTTTTTTTCTAAAACGTTGAACCGTAAACGTTTATTGCCTACTGCTGTTCCCACATTTTTTATCCATCTAGGTCATCAGCCAAATGTATATCTTCTCCCTAGTACATCGACCAAGTGCTTCCTCTGTTGAGACTATCATTGAACATGAACGAGACATTTTTGAAAGCGTACCATGTGCAACCTTTGGACATTCTTAATCAAAAATCCTACCTCCAAATTATTATAATGAATTAGATGTTCTTTGATTCACTATGTCCATTGATTAAAAATGTTCTGATTGACTACATCTAATCAAAATATATATGTATTTCTTGTAAAGTAGCAAAAAGAAAACAAAAAAATGTATTTTGTGGTGTTATTATTTTAACTGTTTTTTAATTTTTGATTTGTTTCATTTATACAATATTTAAGCACTTAAACAATAATATATATAATCTTATAAACAGTTGTATGATATATACGTTAGGGAAATTAGGACAAGGATGATTAAATTCTATTTCTTTCATAATATAAAAAAAAGCTATGGGATATACCAGACATTACACAGGTATTGCTAAAAATAGATATAACATTTTTTTATAATTTAAATATATAGATAATAAACTTTTCATTTGGAGTTTTTAGGCCTCCATAAGTGCTTTATTTGCAATCATATGTTAAAATCTGTGAACTATCCAAATCTTCACATTCTTTTGAAAATTTAATAAATGTATCACATCCATGTATGCCTAAAGCTTTTTTGATCAAATAGCCACAAACATATTTAAATGGATTTTGAACTATTATATCTTGTCCTGTAGCTGTAATTAGGAAGAAAAACAGCTTCTTGAGTGTTTTTATTTATTTCAGGATACAGAGAGACAATATTTTTTACATCTAATTGTAGCAAGTGCTTGTCCAGGTCTTCATTACAATTCATGGAATTGCAATGAAGATAATTTTGACAAAAACGTTTTTTAAATGCCCTTTCGAATTGTACAGGTATTGGATTAATTAAATTCCCACCCTGTTGCCTAATGGACCCAACAAATTTTTCTAGACAGTCACTGTTGATTCTTCTAGCCATTAAATATTTAAATCCCGCAGCAGATAACCATTCCCATACAAATTTTAAACCATAAAATCGTTAAATATAAACATCTAATTTTTATGATGTGACGTTAATAGTATTTAATTATATACATAGGTAATATAAGCAATTGGGCAGCATTTTGCTTAACGGGTGACTTACAACAGGCATTTGCTAAAACTCATCTGAAGTCAAAAATTTGTACGTAGGAACAAAAATTGAAATAAAATAATTCTTGTATTGTAAATTCATTAAAAACTTACTAATTTGTAATTGTGTGTTTTAATAAATATTATTGTTATATGTTGTTTCACTTCTAAAAAGATACCTACATAACCTCATTTTAAATAAAAAAATAAGGTGCTGAGTTAATTTATTAGTTCCAGGAAGAAACCAAAAACTGTTTGACACATTTCATACAATGAATGGCATACAAAAGTAATTTATTTTATTCTAATGATAAAATTTTAAAATTGGCACATCTATATTTTCACCGGAACTCATTTATTTAAGTTACACAATATTTTGATTAATTTATTTGCCTAGAATACATTAAAATGTTATATGTACATGTTTTAATTTTTTTCTAATTGTACATCGCTAATTTGCAATTTTAGAGTTTACTTTTCTCCGTGTAGAAATAAGCGACAAAAACGTCAACTGTCATTGAAAATCTGACCACCCCGACATCAAAGAAGCCGACGCAATCTGTCGCTACTGTATTGTTCTTTATACTGGGTTTGGACCGAGTAACGGATATTTCGGTTAATAATGAACCACACACTTAAAAAGTAGTTGACTCATGACAGATAATATAGGAGAAATATAGGAATATTTTATTTTAACAGTATTTAAATGTTTTAGTATGTGAACACTAGAACTAGTTTAATAAAAAGATCAAATTTAAAGTTAAACTTTTCCAAATTTCTTGCTGTTGGTCAAATAGCCTATCATTTTAGGCTATTTATTTAGAAAGCGGATTTTTAACTGTTTAGTTATCACTCGACAGTTCCTTTGTCTATTAGGCATTCTAACGACCTGTCAAAATGCTACCAGTGGGAACTGACAATTTAGTTATGGCAACCTGTGGGCCTGTTGTCATTGACAGGATCAATGAATCATATATAGTTATATAGATTGCTCAAAGCGGGTCGTTTGCGAGCGGCCATATTGCCTGGAAAGTGTTCAATTTGAATCGGTTTAGCAAAAATGTGTTTTAAAACCAATTTCCAGCCTTTGAATATAAAAAAAATAATTGCTTTCATTTTAACTTCAAGACTCTTATGTTTATTTTTAAAAACATGGATGATCAATCTATATAACTGCCTATATTATTTACCCTATCAAACCACCAGGCCATATTATAACCTGTCAGTGGAATGTCATTTCAAATGGGCAGTTATTTTGTTTGGAACACAAAATTCATAGCACGGAGGTATAAAAGTTCATTGAGTCATAGTAGTCATTAATTTGATTTATTATTAATAATGTTTAAAATCATATTGGTTCAATCCTCATTTTAGTCCAAATAGTGTGTGGTTATTCTATGTCTGTTATTTCCTACTCTATATGCAACAATCAAATGCAGCTAGAAATTCAGTAACTGAAATACACACATAACCAACTGATACCAAAAGATGTGATATCATAAAACAACAGATAACTCTGCTCTAATTGAGTTGGAAATTTGAAATGGAGAGTAAGCATTAAGCAATGTGTACTGAGCATGTAATCGGTCATCTCAACAACATACTTTACTGCTTAAAATACAGATAGTAAATATTTTAGTAAATAATTTTATTCTGCAATTTATGATTAGTAAACCAGTTAGTTTTTTTTTCCTGGATTATTTTCATGAGTGTTTTGTTATCTTAATGTTTATTTTTTAGGGTCTTTTGCCTTTACCGATGCCTTCGAGGTTGCACGGGGCCCTGGTGGTTCCCTATTTCAGCGTATTCAATTCGTTTTTCGAATTCTTCCTAAGTCTGACCAGTGATGATAACGATGTAATAGAGAGATGTACAAAACGTATCGAAGACGAGCTTACCAAATTAACTGATGTACTCAAAGAGAACACTTTGAAAAAACCGAACGACTTTTTTGATAAGCGGAAATCGATGGAGGTCGCTGTCAATTGTGTTGAGGTATATACTTTTTCTTCATTAAAATTAATTTTACTTAACTTTTTCATGGAAATTTTTGAAATAAAATTATTGAATTTGAAGTAACATTCACAAAAACCAATAAAAATTACAACTTCCGATCCGTACTTAAGAAAATTTAAATGATTCATATTCACGGCATGCGGACAAATAAAAGGTTGATACCTAAATATATTTAGTTTTTTATGCTCTTTAAAAATTTAAAATTTTAAAAAATTTGATGTATAGGGTGGGTCAAATTTTAATAATTTTTGTTAAGCCGGACCTGGATTTTGAAATTTTTTATTGTGTCAATAAATTGTCCTATAGGTGTAGATTATCTAGGCCAAATATCAAAAAAATATACTGAGTGATTTAAAAGTTATGGAGCACGGAAGAAATAGACCAAATTCAAAAAACTGAAATTTGACCATTGCCGATTCGCCTCCTTCTCTCTAGTCTTCATAGGATTAACTAAATTAACAGTTTTATTTTAGAAATTATTAAAATTCATAAATTATTTTAAAATTAGTTATTTTGTCTTAATAACCTAAAATAATTTTTTAAATTAGTAGATTTTCGTTAGTTAGTTGGTCGTAGAAAAAACATACTGTACAACAAGAATGGATTTTCTTTATATCAACTATTGTTGCACAAACTACTATTTAATAAAAATAAAAAAAAATAATTTTTCTGAAAAGAAAGATTATATTTTTCTGAGTAAATAATGAAAAGAAACTGAAAATTCATTAAATTTTCAGCTTGCTATGATATTATATTTCCCTTAACTTCTAACCAACTCTGTTAATTTTAATAATAGCAAAAAATTAAAAATATGATTTTTATGTAAAATTTCATGCTTTACAATTTTAATTTTTCGCTCCTTGGGCCTTGAAAAACATTTTTTTTACATATCGTTTTCAAATATTTCAAAGCAACTTATATCAAAAATTTCTGTATTTCCTACAAAATGTTGATCTAAAGGTCTATTTGATTGAACTATATTACAGATTTTTCCATTCTCTTTATTTGTTAATTTTTTTCAGGTATTGAGTGTATCGTCGGTTGCATGCGCCCTCTGTAGCGAATTAATAAAACCGTTACAGGCGAAAAAGGGCAAGCGAAAGCATCCCGAACCGAAAGGCAAGGACCACGTCCAAAGGATATCGGACAAACTCAAATCGGAGTTAAACTCTTTTTGTGATATTTTACAAGACTGGGTCGATGCGAGTCCGGAGGAGGAACTACATAAAAAATTCGACAATCTCAATTTGACCGTCAGCGAGAACGTATTCGAAAAAATTTTACATAGTTATACAATTTCCAATAAGGAGATGCAACTTATTTTGAAGACCAAAATCAAATTGTTGACGTAGAAGGGTGAGAGCTTGCATCTCGAAGGCTATTTCTTTTTTGTTTTTATTGTTTGTAAGTATTGTAAAATAAAAGAACGGTTTTTACAAAACGATTTTTTTTTTGTTTCATGTTGTGCCTTATTTTTTTTAATTCCAAAAAATATTTACACACAAATAATAAAGAAAAGCTCACTCGATAAATACTTTGTTTCGATAAATATTCGTATAAAGGGATATCAGAAGGATAGAATAGAATTTATTCGTCAATATAGTATATTATGCAACGATCATGTAATGATGGTTATTAATACACGAGCATTAACCGGGATACGAAACGAGCCAAAGGCGAGTTTCGTATGGTTTATGCGAGTGTTTTAATAACCATTACATGAGAGTTGCATACGCTATTTTTTCTACACCCGATAAATAATCAAGACCTATAAATATTCTATTTATATTGGTATTGAACACAATAACAGTAATTACTCGTATTTCTATAAAAAATTCTACAAAATTGTAATTAATGGTATTACCTTGGGTACTGGTATTACCACAGATTTTTGGGGCAAAATATTTTGTGCTGCATTTTCTCCTTTCTCCTATATGTGTGGAGGAGTGTTCTATATCGCTGATATCAGACATTTTAATATTATAATTATCGAAGTTTAGCTATCTACGAAAATTTAATACGTTTTGACAACTAAAACAATTACATAGGAATTTAGGACAAACGTCAAACATCATGCTTGATTGAAAAATTGTAGGTTTCTATTGATTAAAAATCTGTATCATAATGAAAAATCTGTATCATAATGGGTATCATTATGAAACGGATTATGGGCATATAAGTGCATTATTATAATACGGGTGTAGAAAAAAGTATTTTACATGCTTTAAAATCCATTTTAGAAAAATTATGTATTCAACAAAAATTATAGAGAATAACATTACAAGCAACTTTTATTTGAACAATTTTCTTCTACAAGCGTAAATAAAAGATATATTTCATAAAGTAAAAGAAACAACCCCTTATATAGTACCCCCCAGATGTTCCGATTATGCCTAAAATTTAATCTGTTCACCGCAGGATAGATTAAAATTTGATGTTCTCTCTTTACTACAACGTTGCCTGGTCGATAAGACCACCGCAGCTAAGGGGACTTATTTCACCAGCTCTTTAATTGACCAACCATTGTTTGACCTTTTCTTCGTGAAGAAATTCACAAACCCAAGTCGTACTTTTCCGCAAATTCTACTCAGCAGCCGCTATCACAACTTCGTCACTTGAGAGCGTACTGTTGCCATCTAAATTAGCAATTCGCAATGACAACTGCTTTTAGCAAATCGCTATCCGAAACCTGCGAAAAAAAAAATACAAGACAACAAAATTCTGATAAATTATATAGAAAAGTAAAATATTTATTTGACGTTTAAGAATGGAAGCAAGAAAAAATACCTGGTTTCACAGTTGGATGGATGGATATCTAGTAAAATTATTACCCTTGTTATAATTATAATAATAAATTGGATGAAAATAGTAAAAAATTGGATAAAAATAGTAAAAATTGGATAAAAATAGGAAAGAAAGAAAATAAGGAAGAATTAATGAAGAAAATGGATGGTTTGGAAACAAACTAGGAGAACAGATCAAACAAAATGAGGACGTAATGGGTAGCAAGATGAACCACATAAAGGAAGAAATCCAAGGATAACAAAAATTAAGTTAGAAAAATAAACGAAATCACCGATAATATAAAGTCAGAAGAAAAAATTGAAATAAATAAAGAGAGATAAAAATAGAAATAGACGAAAAAGATGTAAATGAAGAAAGTCAGTCAAAATATAAAAAACGACAAACTAGGAGAACAGATCAAACAAAATGAGGACGTAATGGGTAGCAAGATGAACCACATAAAGGAAGAAATCCAAGGATAACAAAAATTAAGTTAGAAAAATAAAAGAAATCACCGATAATATAAAGACAGAAGAAAAAATTGAAATAAATAAAGAGAAATAGAAATAGAAGAAAAAGATGTAAATGAAGAAAGTCAGTCAAAATATAAAAAACGATAAAGTAAACTAAAAATTACAGTTAAAGACTTCTCCCACCCCTAATGTGACAAGATAAGAAGGAAATTATGCATCACATTTTTAGTAGACCTTATAACTTGATAAATTCACCCCATCTAGCGGTCGTCCTACTATTCGCTAAATAATTTTTGTTTTTCTTGTGACCACTCTAGTCATTGAACTATTTTTTTTTAACTACTATTAACATGGTTCCCCAGATATGGTCGAAATCCATTCTCATTGGGCAACCAGGTACAACATAATTTTCAAAGAACCTAATTATGTCCTAAAAACACCAGTTAACAGAAAGGCACTTGTAAAAATAGGAAAATTTACATAATATTCAAGATTAAAGAAATGGCTTATAGACGGTTTTTCATAACCAAAACACTGAGACACCTGGCTCCTTAGAGGTGATAACCACCGTTTCAGAGTGGAATTAGCAACACCAAGAGCCAGGTGTTTCCCCTCGTAAGAGTACTAAACGCAGTGTTTTCGATATATGAAAGTAAAGTCTATATGCAATTTCTATAATATTGAATATTATGTAAAATTTTCTATTTATACACGTGTTTTTCTGACAAGCGGTTGATTTTAGGACATAATTAGGTTGTTCGAAAATTATGTTTTACCGGGTGGCCCATTAAGAAAGACTTTCGGTCATGTCTGGGGAACCGTTAATAGTAAAGCTTCTGGGAAAAAATTCAATGACTTAAGTGGTCACAAGAAAACCATGGGAATCATTTAATTATGTCCTAAAAACAGCAGTTGACAGAAAGGCACGTGTAAAAATGGAAAATTTACATAATATTTAAGATTAAAGAAATGGCTTATAGACGGTTTTTCATAACCAAAACACAGACACCTGGCTCCTTAGAGGTGATAACCACCGTTTCAGAGTGGAATTAGCAACACCAAGAGCTAGGTGTTTCCCCTCGTAAGAGTACTAAACTGCAGTGTTTTCGATATATGAAAGGAAAGTCTATAGGCAATTTCTCTAATATTGAATATTATGTAAAATGTTCTATTTACACACGTGTTTTTCTGACAAGCGGTTGATTTTAGGATATAATTAGGTTGTTCGAAAATTATGTTTTACCGGGTGGCCCATTGAGAAAGGCTTTCGGTCATATTTGGGGAACCGTTAATAGTATTAACTGTAGTATTATTAGCGGTTGTCCAGAAACTGCAGTATTATTAACGGTTGTCCAGATATGATCGAAATCCATTCCTATTGGGCTACCAGTTACAACATAATTTTCGAAAAACCCAATTATGTCCTAAAATCAACAGTTTGACAGAAAGACACGTGTAAAAATAGGAAAATTTACATAATATTCAATATTAAAGAAATGGCTTATAGACGGTTTTTCATAACCAAAACACTGAGACACCTGGCTCCTTAGAGGTGATAACCACCGTTTCAGAGTGGAATTAGCAACACCAAGAGCTAGGTGTTTCCCCTCGTAAGAGTACTATAAACTGCAGTGTTTTCGATATATGAAAGTAAAGTCTATATGCAATTTCTCTAATATTGAATATTATGTAAACATTTTCTATTTATACACGTGTTTTTCTGACAAGCGGTTGATTTTAGGACATAATTAGGTTGTTCGAAAATTATGTTTTACCGGGTGGTCCATTAAGAAAGACTTTCGGTCATATCTGGGGAACCGTTAATAGTAAAGCTTCTGGGAAAAAATTCAATGACTTAAGTGGTCACAAGAAAAACATGGGAATCATTTAATTATGTCCTAAAAACACCAGTTGACAGAAAGGCACGTGTAAAAATAGGAAAATTTACATAATCAAGATTAAAGAAATGGCTTATAGACGGTTTTTCATAACCAAAACACTGAGACACCTGGCTCCTTAGAGGTGATAACCACCGTTTCAGAGTGGAATTAGCAACACCAAGAGCCAGGTGTTTCCCCTCGTAAGAGTACTAAACTGCAGTGTTTTCGATATATGAAAGTAAAGTCTATATGCAATTTCTCTAATATTGAATATTATGTAAAATTTTCTATTTATACACGTGTTTTTCTGACAAGTGGTTGATTTTAGGACATAATTAGGTTGTTCGAAAATTATGTTTTAATGGGTGGGCCATTAAGAAAGACTTTCGGTCATATCTGGGGAACCGTTAATAGTAAAGCTTCTGGGAAAAAATTCAATGACTTAAGTGGTCACAAGAAAAACACGGGAAGCATTTAATTATGTCCTAAAAACAGCAGTTGACAGAAAGGCACGTGTAAAAATGGAAAATTTACATAATATTTAAGATTAAAGAAATGGCTTATAGACGGTTTTTCATAACCAAAACACAGACACCTGGCTCCTTAGAGGTGATAACCACCGTTTCAGAGTGGAATTAGCAACACCAAGAGCTAGGTGTTTCCCCTCGTAAGAGTACTGAACTGCAGTGTTTTTCGATATATGAAAGGAAAGTCTATAGGCAATTTCTCTAATATTGAATATTATGTAAAATTTTCTATTTATACACGTGTTTTTCTGACAAGCGGTTGATTTTAGGACATAATTAGGTTGTTCGAAAATTATGTTTTACCGGGTGGCCCATTGAGAAAGGCTTTCGGTCATATTTGGGGAACCGTTAATAGTATTAACTATAGTATTATTAGCGGTTGTCCAGAAACTGTAGTATTATTAACGGTTGTCCAGATATGATCGAAATCCATTCCTATTGGGCTACCAGTTACAACATAATTTTCGAACAACCTAATTATGTCCTAAAATCAACAGTTTGAGAGAAAGACACGTGTAAAAATAGGAAAATTTACATAATATTCAATATTAAAGAAATGGCTTATAGACGGTTTTGCATAACCAAAACACTGAGACACCTGGCTCCTTAGAGGTGATAACCACCGTTTCAGAGTGGAATTAGCAACACCAAGAGCTAGGTGTTTCCCCTCGTAAGAGTACTATAAACTGCAGTGTTTTCGATATATGAAAGTAAAATCTATAGGCAATTTCTCTAATATTGAATATTATGTAAAATTTTCTATTTATACACGTGTTTTTC